GCCCAGATGGCAAATATAGCCTAAATGGGCTAAGCTGTGGCCTTAGGGGCAAATAAGTATGAATATGTGAAAGTAATGTGTGTAATGGTTTTTTTTATTGTTATCTGTTGACACTTATAAGTTTAAATACTAGTGCATGAAGTATGTTTTTGTTATTTTCTGTAAACTGAAAATGTACATTCATTGAGCGTGTTGTATTCATCCCTCCCCCTTCCCCCCCCCCCCCCCTAAAATCAATAGTGGTTTTCAGGGAATTGGAGAAGGTTGAAGTCCATTGCTAAGTCCTAGAGAGTCTAGGAGATTATAGTTGAGACATGTTGTCAAAATTTGTTAACATTTGATCATGTATTTGTATTGTTATTAGATTTCAAGTTAAAGTATGTTGATTAAGGGTTGAACAAGGTTTTAATGTAGATGTATGAAGTTTAACTTTGTGTTAATGGGCTATGTGAGTATATGTGAGTATGTCGGTTATTGGTAAACGGGGTCCACCCTCATGGAACATACTATATGTGTACTATATTTGGGGTAGGGTGTGACATAGACTACTTCGACAAGTTGGTTGGTTGTGTTATTGGTTTGCGATCACCTCTTCTGACTTTTCCCAATTGTATGTATAGGTGGTAACCCTAATTGTCAAGGTCACCTCGCCTGTTTCTAGGAACTTTTCTCTATCACAGCTATAAGCATCCCCCTCAGCTGTCTGTAATCAACACTCCATTAGCGTCACATTCAACTATGCCTCTACACCCTTCGGAGATACAAGAAGATCTTTTGGGGTAGTCGTTGAATACCTAGGACTCTCTCTTTGACCCTTTAGTTGGTCTAGTTACACCATGTGTCTTTACTAGTGTTTTCATATTAATATGATAAGGCTAGTGTTTTTTTTTTTTGTATTATATAATAGTATATTTCGATGAGAAACATGAACACTCATTAAAACAATTCAAATGAATGACCAAACCCGATAATAATTACTTCAACAAATAACATCAACTCAATTGTAATGGGGATTATAACATCATCAAAAAAGATATAAGATATATTCAACATTCGTATAAGAATAACATTTCCTGCTATAAAAAAACAAAATATATCTTTGAATTTGAAAGCAGTATCATACCTTAAAAGCACTATGTCACCATCAAGGGAACTATTACAAATATTCTTGCATTAACCCACTATTCCCAATCTTTCTTGGATCAGTTTCTTAATTACCATAATTTTTTGAGTACCACAAATTCTAACTTAATATTTAATTTATTATTGCTCATCTAAAAAAGCAAGTTTAACTTACACTTTTGAATGAAAAAACTTAGGATCCGTTTGGTTATGGTTCAGTTTTCAATTTTTTTGTTTTTGTTTTCAATTTTTTAGAAAACCTGAAATTTAAACTCGTTTGGTGACCATTTTAGTTTTTTTTAACTAAAAACGTTTTCAAATCTACCTCAGATTTTGGAAACGAAAAAAAGTCTTTTTCCAAACAAGAAAAAAAAGGAAACGGGCGGAAGCCATTTAATAAGATCGTACCATCAAGTCTTGTTAGCAACAAACCAAGCAAAAATATTAAACCCTTAAACTCTCTCTCATCTCTCTCATTCCCTTCGTCCAGCAGAGAAGCGTTCTAGTAGTTCAGACGTCCAACAGGTTCATTCCAACAACTCAGAGACGTCCAACAGCAGCTTCGTCTCTCTTGTTTGAAGCTCTCTCAACAAGGTAAGTCCTTAGATTTAGGCTTTTTAGAAATTTTTTTCCTGTTTTGGATATCTCTCGATCTCTCTCAGTAGCTATATTTCTTTGCATTAGACCTACATGATGTTTCTTTGTGTTAGATATGATTTTTTTTTAAAAATTTATTAGATCTGGCTTTTGTTTTAGATCTTCTATGTGTTAGACTTTATTATGTATTAGATCCATTCACATATTTTTTTGTATTAGATCTGATTTTGTTTTGTTCACAAGCCCATCTTCCATCTACATTTTTTGTGTTACATCTGATTTGCTTAGGTTGTACATTGGGAAGTAGCAGATTGGGACATTTTCAATGATCTGATCATATTTGTTACTCTATTTTGTTTTAATCCATGATTTTCCCTTTGAATTTAATGTACATGCACTAAAAATATTTGATTTCATCAATTTTTTTCATACATATGATGTTACTAGAATGTGTGGTTGTAGATGGTAAAAACCAATGTAAGCAATGTAGGTAATGACGATGTGGTTGAGGTTTAATCCACCAAATCTAATATCCCATGACCTGCTAAGAGTGAGGCAATTTTTATAGATTTAATAGATAAGCAAGTTGCAAAAGAAAATAGATCAACTACTACATTCAAAAGAGAAGCATGTAACTACATTCTTGAGGAATTGAAAAGGCGACCTAGGTATTCATATAACCATAAGCAACTTAAGAATAAGTTTAACACTTTGAGGCGAGTAAGAGGTGATTTCCACAAACTAGTTAATGAGACCAATGGATTTGGTTGGGATCTAGAGAAAGGGACACTGACTCTGCTAGATGATGTGTGAAAAAATTTGTTTAAGGTATAAATTTTTATTGTGTTAGGTGACACTATTTCCACATACTTTCATTGTGTCTTGAAAGCAATTTGTCGACTTGGAGTGCACATTATCAAACCTCCTGATTTCAATATTATTCCACCTCAGATTCGACACAATCCTAATTACTATCCATTCTTCAAAGTAATGTATATTTTATTTCTTATTATTTGTTATACACATCATTATGCATATTAACATTTAATTATGTTTTAGAATTGTGTCGATGCTATAGATGAAACTCATGTTGAAGCATGTATACAGGTGAGTAAGCAAATCCCATACTGTGGTAAGAAAGTTGAACTAACACAAAACGTTATGTGTGCATGTTCGTTAGACATGCGATTCACATTTGTTATGAGTGGTTGGGAAGGAACTGCTAATGACTCGAGAGTATTTATTGAGTCCATTAACAATCCAGAAAATAATTTCCCAATGTCTGAAAGGGGTAATATTCTTCATTGTAACTTTTCTTTCCATTCGTAGAATTTACAAGTGTACCATTTGACATATAAGTATTATATTGTAGATGCTGGATATACGAACATGTCTGGGTTTTTGTCACTGTATCGTGGTGAGAGATATCATTTACGTGACTATAGAGGTAGTGGCCGACGTCCAAAGAGTAAGATAGAACTATTTAATTACCATCACTCATCACTTCGGTATGTTATTGAGCGTTCCTTGGGAGTGCTAAAAGATCGGTTTCCCATTCTCAAACAAATATCCCCTTACCCTATAAGAACACAAAAATATATTCCATTGTATAGTCTACAATTTCATTGGAATGCACGCTGATGAGTTCAGTAATGAAGAAAGGGTGGATGATAATGCAGGATCAACTTCACATAACCTAATTGAAGTAGCTATCAGTCAAACTCAGTTTTGTCAAATGGCTTGTGTGCGAGATTGCATTGCCAATGAGTTATGGGCAAGTGTTGGACATTGAGACATATGGTTTTTGGTGTATATGAATTATTATCTCTAATTATTATCAATGAGTTGATGTTTATATAGATTATTATCTTGGATGTTTATAAATTATGAGATATATTTTTAGTATGGATGTTTTATGAATTATGTTATGTTTTAGTGTGTTATCATTATATTATGTTATTTTTACAATTAAACTAATATGAAAGTGTATGGTGTAAATAAGTTGTTCATAAAATAATTTAAAAATGTTTATCAAACGAGTTTTCTATTTTTGTTTTTATTTTTTTTTATATCAAAAAATACTACCAAACCAATTTTCTATTATTATTTTTTAAACCTAAAACTGACAAAGTTTCCAAAGCCAACAGTAGTTTTTAATTTATTTTTGTTCACATGAAAAAGTGAGCTTAACTTACGCTTTTCAATGAAAAAGGATACTTCCAGAATGTACTTTCAGTACAAAACCTTCAAACGGGTGGGTCAACCCCACATTTTTTTCTTTACAAATATGGGCCAAACTCAATAGCCCTCTCCCCCCGGGGCAGCCCACGCCAAGCACGTCTCTCAATGCCCGTGGGCCCGTCACATAAAAACGACAACTACGTACATCCTAAACGACAACCCTATATTTTTCGCAGCATTAAAGATAATCCTTTCTTTTGGCTAAGTCACATCCACCTGTCTTCCCCTTATTTGTCCGCCTCAGATCTCCCTTACCCATTAGGCAGTTTGTCAGATAGAAACCAAAAGACAAGAATAAACTACACTTACACAACCATCAATTCTGAAAAAATTATAAGAAATGAGCTGATATTTGAAAATTCACACAATATCTTAGTGAATAGTAACAGAGGCATTCACTTGGTATTGATACCAACTCCATTACCTTACTGTTTCCATAAGGTTCTCATAAAAAACTAAGCTACACATTCCACCATCATCCTTATTCTTGTTGATTAAAAAGCCTTTTTATTTAATCATGTAAGGATAAATTTGTTATTTCATAATGACTCCGGCTTAACATTCTAAAACTTCATAAAAAATCAAGTCTCAACAACCAGCAAGATTAGCTCAATAAAAGACTTGTTCAAGTTCAACAGGGTAAAGATTTATCTAAGATTGAATCAAGATAAATGATCAAATTAAAATTGAATAACCCACCACCTGGTTTGTAAATTCAAGTGAGACCCAATGGGGGTGTTTGGTATGGTTGATGTGGAGCCCATTTATCCTTGATTTGGTAAGGAAATTTAAGGTTGGACAATTGTAGCCTTTAAAACATTCGGCCATAGTATTTGGACTCTTTTATCCCTTCTCAAGCGGATACACAAATCCCACCAAAATTTTGGAATTATGCAAATGACGACCGGATTAAGGGAGGATTTTCTTTACACCCCTGAAACCATGCCCCAGAATGGCGCAAACTCCTCCATTGGCAAGGGCAACATATGTTTCCTCTCTCTCTATATCTCTCGCCCTCTCTCTCTCTCCCCTAAACTCAGCCATGGCAATCTATCTGCCCTCACCATTGACGATTCTATCATCGCTCACCCAAATATCTACCTAAACTCAGCCATGGAGGTCCACGGTATTGGCGCCATTCTTGATTACACTATCAATGGTGGTGACTTCTTCGCACCACCGGTGGTTCTGCCATTTTTTCCGACCGGGAAAATCATAGGTAGCCGGAGGTCTGATGCAGCATGCATGTGCACTGAGTTTCTAATGATTTTCTCGATTGTTTGTGCTGTTTTTGCATTCAAGATTCTTAGAAACCCTCTTGCTCGTTGATGGGTTTGTTCACAAATCAATGATTGTGGCTGTTTTTGTTCTGCAAAGGTAGTCTAAGCACCATTAGATGAAAGGAAAGATGAGTATGGGGTTTTTTTTTGTTATTGGGTTGGGTCATTGTTAACAGTACCGGCTATTCTTCTTGAATATGGGGCTATTTTGTTTTTATTTTCTGCATTAGTCTGTGATTTTAGAATGCAAAAAATTTCTATGGTCTGTAAAATCCTCTATTTCATCGATATATCTGAATTAGCTTCTTCTTGTATTCGTGTTTCAGTGAAGTTTATTATTTTGTATGAAATGACAAAGAAAGAAAATGCTAAACGGATCAATTTTGATCTCAATAAAATGGATATTTATTTTCAGTTCTATTCCACAACTGATGGCTCTTATGATGACTATAGTTTTGCTTGTGCCTCTGATTTTGAGATTGGCGAATCTAGGAAGGTTTCATTGGTGGCCGAATCTGATTGTTCGATGGATGTCGAAAATGAGGTGGGTGAAATTAAAGTGCATTTGGGAAAATCAGAGAGAGATTGTCAAATCTGTCATCTGAGTTTGGAGAGTACTGGTCCTGAGTCTGGGATTGCCATTGAATTGGGTTGTTCTTATAAGGATGACTTAGCAGCAGCTCATAAGCATTGTGCTGATACTTGGTTCAAGATTAAGGGAAACAAGTGAGTAAAACAAAATCCCAATTTTTTCATGTTGTTTTCTCTAATGACTTGAAAGTTTTGGGTGAAGTTTAGTGTATTGTGGTAAGTTTTAGATGCCCATTTGGTAACTCCCAGCATTATAGACACAACACACACACATACCTGTATATTCCCATTGACACATAGTTGCATGTTATTAATTGTAGGAAGATGTTTTTGCTTCACAATACTGTCTTGCACCATGTCTCGAATTTTGAATTTTGAATTTTGAAACACAATAGCGTGTGTGCATATAGCTTCAATGTAATATGTTTTGTGTATGATTGTCTTCGTTTTGTATGTATACTTCAAGACAACATGTGATTTGACCATATCGATACGTGTACTTACGTAATGTGAAATATGTTTATGTGACATCGAATCGTTTATTTCGTTGTTCTTAATTTTTTTTCCAAAACAATGTGGAACAATGTTACGAGGAAATTAATGTGCTCTCACTTGTGTACTTTTGAAAAAATGAAAATCGAATTATTTTCGATATTTTCTCTTGGTGACCCAACTGTTATATTTTTTGTGAAATATAAAAGTGGACAACATAAAAAAAATTTCATAGCCAATATTGACTTTGGCTTGGATAGGATTAAAGGGTAAAATTATAAATTCATGTGAAAGTAAAGAGATTTGATCCAAAAAAACAATGGTTTGTCCGCTGACCTCATAATATAAGAAATTATTTTTCAAATGAGGGATATGATTACACCACTTCATTGATATCCTAGTTATTGGGTTTTTATTGGATTGGTTTGGATTTTTAATCCAAACCAATCTTATCCCCAAAGCTTTGCCAAACACCCTCGGTACGTTTAAATGAATCTATAGCTTCTTAATGGTAGAGGATATATCAAGACAGAAAATAAAATAAAAGAGTGTTAGAAAGAATTGGAACCGATTGTTGTGCTATATGATCAAAATTTAGGGATGTAACAGTCATTTAATCTTTTAAGTTTACTTTAAAGTAATTCATACTATGAAGAAACGAGAAAACTCTCACCACTAGTACTCAATCTTACAGAGACAGAGGGAGAGAGTGGAAAAACAATGGTCGGAGAGAGTTGGAGTCTGACGGCAAAGTTGTGCGACTCATGCAAAACGGCGCCGGCAAACCTGTTTTGCCGTGCTGACTCGGCTTTTTTATGCATGGGGTGTGACTCAAAAATCCACGCGGCGAAAAGCTGGCATCAAGGCACGCGCGTGTGTGGATGTGCGAGGTATGTGAGCAGTCGCCGGCCGCCGTCACCTGCAAGGCGGACGCCGCCGCCCTATGCGTCGCCTGTGACTGCGACATCCACTCCGCCAACCCACTTGCCCGCCGCCACGAGCGCTTCCCCGTCGTCCCCTTCTACGACTCTGCCGCAGTGGAAAAACACTACCACCATGACCACGGTGGAGATGATGACGTTGACACTAGCGAGAAGTATTTCTCCGATGACCTTGAAGGCGGAGCCGAGGAGGCTGAGGCTGCCTCGTGGCTTTTGCAGAACCCAAATCCCAATAAGATCGTTGATTTGTTTGGTGATATGGATTCTTACTTGGATATGGAGATTATTTCTGGGGATCAGAAACAGCGGACCCAGAAGCAGTACAGTTCAGGGGCTGATGGGGTGGTGCCTGTAAGCGATAATGGTCTGCACCACCAGCCACCGCCGCAAGGTCTGGTAGTGGATGGATTTCCGGCATATGAAGTGGATTATTCTGGATCTAAGCCTTTTATGTACAACTTCAACTCTCAGTCCATCAGCCAAAGCGTATGTGTACTCTTTTCATCTCGTTTTGGCATTTTTCTTATAGCTTATTTTTTCGTTGGGTAGCCAAGAAAATCTCAAAGAAAATGAAGTTGAGCTTCTGTGAAGCTAATCGGTCTTCATTCTTCAGTCTTCAGACAGTGAAAACCTCAAAATTAAATAAGTAGAGTAGTTAGATTTGGCTCTGTTGACTGAAGGTGGCTGTTCGGTAGTTGAGAAAATTTTGGAAAACGCAACGGAAAATTGGGAACGGAATTAAGCTTCTTACTACTAGAATAATCTGTTATTCCATGTCTACTACAATAACCTCTTGGATTTTTTATGCTGGAGGTAGTTTTCCAGCCTCCGACATAAAAGTGTTGTAGCTTCCATTTTTTTACCCTCCATTTTTCTAGCTAGACAGTAGATTTTCTTATGAATGAAACAGAACATTAAATCGAGATTGTTGCTTAACAAGCTCTAGTATACCATTGCGGGTTGTGGTGAACATTAATGTTTGAGTTTGACCAATAGTTTGTCCCTCCTAAACTATTTTTGAAGATTCTCCCAAACACTTGGAGGAAGGTTTTTCCCTCATTTACAATGATGGATCTGGGAGGGAAATATTGCTCATCATAAGGTTGAAAAATTCCTATTTCTTAATTTGATATAGAATTTATGTAGTGATCTTCATGGTTTTAAGAAGTTCATCCTCTCAATTTTTGAGCTTTTTATATTCTGAATCCCCTCTCTCCCCCCAAAAGACTAGAAATAATTCTTCTCCCTTTAACCCAAATCTTAGATCTGTTCCTGCCACTAGATCAAACTAGACTTAATATCTGGACTTGATTCCTTAATTTGATACAGAATTTATGACCAATTGAGATAGTTCCTCTAGCCTTAATCCAAGTCTTGGATGCAATGTTGTCACGAGAAATAATTTTCAGAATCGGCCCCAAACTTAATATGGCATTATATCAATTACGAATTTGAGAACATCTCTCTTTTTGGTGTTCCATCGAATTGGATGGCATCACGTGGGAGATAGTTGGAGTTTTTTGGAGGATGCTCTACTCTTTTTCTCTGTTTTTTTTTTTTTTCTGTAATAGGGTTGGACTACATGTCCAACTTTGGTCATGTATACTTTTAATTATCAATGAAAATTTGTTTCTTATTTAAAAAAAATAAAAACTAGACACTAACATTCACAATTGGTGACAGTTATCTTCATCTGCACTAGAAGTTGGTGTTGTGCCAGACCACAACTCCATGGCCGATGTATCCAACTCTTTTGCAGCAAAAAACACTGCAGATACTGTTCCAACCAACCCCATCCCTGGAATTGACAGAGAAGCTAGAGTTCTGAGATACAGAGAGAAAAGAAAGAACCGGAAGTTTGAGAAAACGATTCGTTATGCTTCAAGAAAGGCTTATGCAGAGACCAGACCGAGAATCAAAGGCAGGTTTGCCAAGCGTACAGAGATTGAAGTTGAATCCTTAATCACTGGAGAAGCCTCATATGGCGTTGTCCCAACCTACTAGACCTTTTTATTAAAATTTTGGGCGTGATGTTGTTGCTGCTGTTTTTAATGCTGATTTCTGTATTTGTACATATAGTATGTGATCTAGATCTATGTTTGATCGGAGGTGAACTGTTAATTTTTTACCGTTGATTTTGTACAACTTCTTGTTGTTTAATGTCTAATGTAATTAGTGTTTTTCCTCGTTTGTGATCTTTCAAACTTATTATGGTATGAATAAAGTTCTGCTACCTTTTTTTTTCTGTCTTGCTTTGTTGCTGGTTTGTTCATTGCCAAAGGAGTGGTTGGTTAATCAGAACCTGCAGGACTATATATGGTCCTAGTGACTGAAAAATGATTCGGGTTGTACTCAAGACCAAAGGTCATTAATAATCTGTTAAACATCAACTTGTGTGATAAATAAGCCTTAGTTCAGAACTTTTTATTTTTTCTAGCTCCGACTCGAACTCCGTTTGATATGCTAAAACGTCAGACTATAAAACATGTCACAATACTTGATTTCAGATGAATATCGACTTGATAAAAACTCATTGAGGATTATCTCCTAGAATACTCGAGACATGCACCATCTTTATTTTAAAACTTGTATAAATTTAAAGCAAAGCTTTAACAACCTAAGTTAGCTCAGATTCGAATCATAACTATAGGGGCCTTGTGTTTTTTTTTTTTTGGGGGGAGAGGGGGGGGGGGGGACTTGGACATTGGTGAAGGAAGCAGCATGTTTTTTTTTTTTTTGCTACTTAAAGATGAGATACAAGAAAGAAGTCAAAAGAAATCTAGAACTCTACATCAACTACTCTCACTCTTACTTCAAGTGCTCCTATTCCTAACTCCAGCCTGATCATTGAGAACCTGCTTCCTAACTGTCACAGGCAAGTTTGAGCCATGAAGCAGCATGCTTTTAACCACCATGCTTTGACCTAAAATAAACCAATTAATTCATGTGGTGGATAATTCTAACCAATTGAATTTGTTTGAAATAAATTAGGTGCTTTACGAAAAAATAAAAAAGAAAGAAAGAAATAGTCACACTGAACACTAATTTGTGACACTATCAAAATCCGAAAGATCATTGGTTGGTGGGGGTATGTTGCTCCCCACATGGCCGGCCCATTGGTGGCAATAAATATCATTTCGACTATTAGCATTGCCCATAAAAGCACCTTTGAATTTTCCAATTGGGAGTGTATCATGTTAGGGTAGAAATCGCGCGTTCGAATTTTATTCCTGAACGGAAGAATTTTGGCTGACTTGTCTTGTGCCAAAGCACCCTGAACGGAAGAATTTTGGCTGACTTGTCTTGTGCCAAAGCGACCACCTAGTAGCCTTTGACCCCCATCCCACATCGGGTAGTCCCCTGCCAAATAAGCCCTTGACCTCAAGTGCCTAGTGGGTACCTCCTCCATTGAGGTCAAGGGCTTATTTGGCAGGGGAGAGACGACTTCTACTCGATGTGGGATGGGGGTCAAAGGCTACTACGTGGTCGCTTTGGCACAAGTCAAGTCAGCTAAAATCCTTCCGTTCGAGAATGAAATCCGAACGCACGATTTTTACCCCTAACAAAAAAATGTCTTTTGGTGGACAGGACTTCCTCTGTTCGAAAGAATTTTGACTGACCTGGATTAACCCTTTGAGCGACCCCCCAGTAGCCTTTACCTCTCAGTGCCCGTGCAGAACTTCGTCCCACATCAGTGACTAGTGGATACCCATCCCTAAGGGGCTCAGACTTATAAGGAGGTGAGGGAGACGACTCTCAGTCAATGTGAGACGAAACTCTGCACGGACACTTAGAGGTAAAAGGCTACTGAATTGCCCTAGAAAGAAGTCCAAGTCAACCAAAATCCTTGAATTTAGAGATAAAATTCAAACGCACGATTTCTACCCCTAACATATCACAATCTCAAAGTCCATTACTTTACAGGTTAAAAGTATATGTTTGACAAACAATTTAAAACTGGGTTGATTACTAGCAAGTGTCAAATCACATCCTCATTCCCTTTTTTAGAGCTAATAGATTTTATGTAAATCGGAAGTATTTATCTATCTAAACAACATATAACAGTTTCTAGTTTTAAAATCAGTCTCTCTATAATTATTATAGGACTACTCGTTCATCAATTAATATTCCGACTGACAAAAGCGTCATGCTGTAGGACGATCTTTTTAAGAACATGTACGAATTTTTTGGATTTAGATCTTTTCAATCCTACTTTTATCCATTTTAGTTTAAGTGGAATCATCTCCGTCTCATAGAAGGTAAGAGAAAAGGCAGTTACTTATCCTATTTATTACTAACTAGCATGAAGGAAAGGTATGTCACCCTTGAACTTTAAATGCGATATTAAGTGCAGGTGCTTCAAAAGTAACGAATCATGGTGAAGTCCGAGGTTATAACAGGTATAAAGGAAGAACAAGTAAAAATTAAATTAATAATGGGATTGCCTTGAAGAATAATTGCAGAATAATTAATGTGTAAATATCAATTAGGAAAGATGACCCTCTAGCTTCGAGATCTGGATATAATCTTATTTATCTGATAATTATTATTATGTAATTTATAATAACTCAGTTAATTTTCAATGTTAGTGTAATCAACTAGAAATATAACTTGAAAACAATTGGTTCGACAAGCATTGGTTATACCAATAATAAAGATCTAGTTTTATAAACTCGCAGGAAATCATAAAAATTGATTATACCAATAATTTAATCAAGTTAACATACAATCAAACAATTATACAAAGTATAAAACTTTTTAAAATGTCATTTAATCGACCTTGATAACATAAATATTTAACATTAAAACCATACAAATAATTACATAAGCATAATAACCAATTAAAAAAATCATAAATCCATACCCTAGGCGAAAGATTACAAATGAATCTACTCATTAGACATTATAGATCTGGATGAGCCCAAATCTAACCAGACTAGGCCTAATAAATCAAGTAAGTCCAAGTCAACTAAAAGGCAGGTCAAACCTAGTTCATGAATCCAACCTAGCCCAAGTTCAAAGGAGTCCAAAAAGAATTAGAGCACATGAAAAACAATTATTAGGATACTTACTCTCGAATATCAAGGTAACTTTTTATGGCACTTATCTTTTGTAGTCACCTGGAGAATTAGTACATTTACCCTCATGTCATCGCCTTAATCAAGACTCTGTGTTTATAAATTGTAAGTTCTCTCTACACGAAAGGACACATTGAGTTCTACCTCTACACCTCTCTACACACACACACAACTTTTCTCTCTCATAGCTATTGTACTTCTCCCGGAGCTAACCATTGTTCTCTCTCCTGTTCACCTTCCTTTATCAATGAAGGTCCCTCGGCCACCGTCGCAATTTTCTGGAGTAGAGTAGGTCACTCAAACTGAATCACTATATACCTGTGTATTGACCCGATATTTACATTATTGACATTACTTGCTCGATTAATTGTCCATTAATTACACTTTATCACATACTCGACTCTTGATCTTGCCCGAGACTATTTTGTGCATCATTAGTTTGACGTCATATGTTATAAACGGCTAAATTTTCTACTACCTTGCTACTCTATGGCAATCAAGACCAGGTCGATGAGTCAACAATCGAAGGACAACAACTCAACTCATCGAGAGGAGGCTCCACCTCCGCCTGCACCAGCGGAACCATCTATTGCGGCGACTCCCATGGTTGGACAACAACTTTTGCAGACCATGCAGCAACTGGTAAACTAGAACCAGCAAATCATACAATTGATGCTCGTCTCGGGAGGCGTCGCCCCTCAGCCTGTAAGAGGAGCACCACTCCCGCCGACAGGAGAAGCACCACAACCTCTCCACTCTGGGTGCCAAAGCGCCCCCCACCGTAGGGCCCCTAGCTAGAACGCCCTCAGACAGTGCCAAGACGCCCCTTGTCCAGTATTCCCTCCTCAGCGTACAGGAAGCTCATGTGTTCCCCCTCGTGTACTTGCGCAAGAGGACAAGGGAGAGAGTCATTACGACGATCATGAAAGTCATTGCAATGAACCGACGGAGGATATCCCCAACCAATGAGACGAGAAGATCAGGGAGGTGCAAAACCAACTCGATGACGCCCTCAACGCCATCAAAGCACAGGCGCTCGAGACGGTGGATTACTTGGTAAGGCTCACTAATACCTCATTTGTTGCAAATGTTGTCAATTACCCCCTATCCTCGAAGTTCAAGATGTCTGTCATCGAGATCTTCGACGATACTAAGGACCCTTTGATTCAGCTCGACACATATAAGTCTCTCGTGCAACTCCATAAAGTGTCTGATGAGATCATGTGTAAAGCTTTTCCCATCAACTTGAAAGGATCTGCTCGACAATGGTTCGTGAATATTAAACCCTCCTCTATCCACTCATTCGCAAAGTTGAGCAAATCCTTCGTCTCCCACTTCATTAGGGAACGCTAACATCAGAAGCATGTTACCCACCTAATCACCATCAAGCACAACCCGGTATGAAAGCCTTAGGAGTTACCTCACTCGTTTCAACGAGGAGGCTCTCCAGATCAAGGAGCCAGACGGTAAGGTAACCATGGTCGCCTTCATTACAAGTCTGCGCTCCTCCAGTTTTATGTTCTCCGTCCTCAAAAAGCAACCCTCCAGCATGCTTGAGCTGTTGTCAATGACACAGAAGTACATAAATGTTGTGGACGTCAATAAAGCCCGTCGAGGTAAGTCTTCTCGAGGAGGGAAAAAAAAGGATGGACACCCGCAATGACAAGCGGGAGACAGAGAACAAGAGAAAAAGAACTAAGAGAGTCTTTGTCAAGGACCGTCTCGGTCCTGTACCCCCCTAGAGAACAACAGTCTTTCACACCACTCAACGTCTCGATGGAGCACATCCTTTTCCAAATACAGGATAACCCCACGCTCCACTGGCCTGAAAAAATGAAGTTTGCACCGAACCATAGAAATCCTAGTAGGTACTATTGCTTCCAGCACGACCACAACCACGACATTGATGACTATTTCGAGTTGAAGAGACAGATCGAGAAGCTTATTCAACGTGGCCAGTTGAGGCAGTACATTACTGGCTGAGGACCGACTCCACCACCCGATCGAAATCAGGATGATCGAGAACGTCAACAACCTCTCGGAGAGATCTAGACTATCTCCGGAGGGTTAGGAGGAGAAGGTGACTGCAACTCCGCCAGGAATGTGCACACCCGGAAAGCCAGACAGGCAGAGTCACATGACTCTCACTTGATGAAGACACCTCAACAGGAGGAAGAGGTCATCACCTCCTTAGACAGGGACCTTGAGGGGATCCAAGTCCCTTATGATGATCCTCTAGTCTTAACCTTGATGGTAGCCAACTATTAGGTTAAGAGTATCCTGGTCGACAGTGGCAGCTCAGCCAATATCCTGTTTGCGCCAGCCTTTGACAGCCTTCATCTAAACAGGGAGAGATTACAACTCGTCAAGACTCCCCTTGTTGGTTTCTCGGGGGAAAAGGTTTATCCCTTGGGTTCTATCACCCTACCGATCACAGCAAGAACAACACCGAGGAGTTCTACCATCATGGTAAATTTTATTATACTCGATTGCTCATCTGCCTATAATATTATTCTTGGATGCCCTACCCTCAACACCTTAAGGGCAGTGTCGTCCACCTATCACCTTCTCCTCTGTTTCCTAATCACTAGTGGGATTGGAGAAATTAGAGGAGATTAGGTCTCCGCCCGAGAGTGTTATGTGGCTTCTATAAGGGCCAGAAAGCCACACGAGACTCTTCAAGTTGAAGTACTTGACCCAAGAGATTGCACCTTGGAAAGAGGGGAACCGTAGAAGAACTTCAACCGATAGCGGTGGATGAGAGCCTTTTAGAGAGGAGAGTCTATATAGGCTCCTCACTTTCTAAAGAGCAAGTCTCCTACCTGGTAGACTTTCTTAGTCGAAACACAGATGTCTTCGCCTAGTCCTATGAAGACTTGGAGGGCATCGACCCTAAAGTAGCCTCCCACCGACTCAACGTCAATCCTAGTTACAAACCCGTCCGCTAGAAGTAGAGGAATGTAAGTACTCAGAGAGGCTTAGTCATGGAAAAGGAAGTGAAGCTACTGAAGAATGGGTTAATAACGGAGGTAACCTACCCAGACTGGCTATCCAATGTAGTGATGGTTACAAAGGCCAATAAAAAGTGGCGCCTCAGAGTGGACTTCATGGAACTCAACATAGCTTGTTCCAAAGAAAGCTACCTTCTCCCATGCATTGATCTCCTTATTGATGCCACTGCGAGACATGAGCTCCTGAGTTTTCTAAATGCTTATTTTGGGTACAACTAGATCAACATGTTCCCTCCAGACCAAGAGAAAACTTCACTGATCACCCTAAATGGCACCTACTGCTACAGTGTGATGTCTTTTGGACTCACGAACACCGGAGCCACATATTAGCACCTCGTGAACAAGATGTTCGAAACTCAGATTGGGAAGACCATGAAAGTCTATGTAAATGATATGTTGGTAAAGAGTAAGGCTACAACAGACTTTGTGACGCACCTCCAGGAGACCTTTAATGTATTGAGAGCCTATAGGATGAAGCTGAATTCTGAAAAGTGCGCATTTGGCGTCAATGTAGATAAATTCTTAGGCTTCATAGTAACAAAAGAGACATTGAAGCCAACCAAGACAAGATCAGAGTCATCTTAGAGATGAAGTCCTCAACCTCGGTAAAGGAGGTCTAGCGCCTTAATGAGAGGATAGCGGCCCTCCATATGTTTGTCTCAAAATCAACAGACCAGTGCCTGTCTTTCTTTAAAATCCTCCACAAGTCTTTCCAGTGGGGACCAAATGTAGATGAAGCCTTCCAGAAGCTAAAAGCCTACCTCATCACACCACTCTTGTTGTCTCATGTCGTATCGGGAAAGACCTTATACCTCTACCTCTCTTCCTCGTCATCTGTCAGGAGCTATGTCCTTGTTCGGGAGGATGGAGACATCCAGAAGCCTACGTACTATGTAAACAAGGCATAGCGATGGGCAGAGGTAAGGTAATCGAAGCTTGAAAAATTGGCTCTTGTACTTGTCACCACCACTAGGCGTCTACGCCACTACTTTCAGAGCCACATCATCGTGATTGTTACAGATCAACCACTTAAGAGAATTCTAGGAAAGCCTAATGTGTGCGACCAATTACTCAAGTGGGCCGTCGAGTTAAGTAAGTTCGATGTGTAGTATCAATCGAGGGTAGCTATCAAAGCACAAGCACTTGCGGACTTCATGGCCAAATCTACACCGCTACAGGAGTCCCGAGATTCTACGTCGCTGCAAGAATCACGGGAGTCTACCCTACTATAGGAGTTCCAGGAGGAAGTATCATGTGCCCCTGTGCCCACCTACTTAGTACATACTACCTCCACCCACCATGAGACAAGCCTAGACACTATCTCGAGAGGGCCCGATGTCTCGGAAACAGCTCCATAGGCCCTTAGAGACCACACTCCAAGACTAGAGGCGCCCGACTCCCTAGGCAATGCAGAGTGTGGTCTCCTAGTGTCATCGTGGAACCATGCCCGTGACAAAGCCATGTAGGCAATGCCCCCAACGCGCACCTACCTAGGATCCTCATTTCCCTTTCTGAATCCCTTCATCAAAACCTTTATCAAGGTACCTGATAGAGAAAACTCACATAGTTTTAATCCTTTAGCCACCAATTTACTTGTCTCATTATCCTATATGTTGATTTGAACTTATAACCCCAATTACCTTAGAAGTCCCTCTGAATCCCGGTCAAGCACATCCCAGTGAGCAATGAGCCATACACTAAGAGGCCTATTCGAGCAGACTAAACTTTCAAAACTTTGCCCTAGGCTGAGATTTACAATCATGCTCATCCACATCCGTTGCTCAGTTCTTCCTTGAAGAGGGTCATACTGCCCATCCCTAGGTCCAGTGGGTCAGTCGAGCACTAGTGTCTAGTAGGTTGAGGTCCGTCCTTAGTGAATGGTCTATTTTTTCAATTTCACTTTTATGTCAGATAACCAAAAAGGAATTGATAAGGTATTTAAGAAAATTTTTCCTAGGGCTAAACACAAGAGGTGCTGTAAGCATCTAGTGAACAATTTTAAATCTAAGTACCCAAGTTTACTCCTAAGGAAATACTTCTGGCAAGCAGCAAGAGCATATACTCAAGTGAATTTTGTGAATGCTATGGAGTTGATTAAAGAACAAAATGTGGATGCATATGAGTGGCTGATAGGTATCCCCAAAAACACATGGTGCTAGGCATACTTTTGGTACATAAGAGTGATCATGTGACTAACAACCATTGAGTTATTTAACAGCTGGATTAGGTTACATAGATCAAAACCTATACTTACACTAATGGAGGGTATTAGGTGTAAAATTATGGTTAGGTTTCAAAAGATTACAAAAAGGGAGAGAATGGGAAGGCATAATCACTAGAGAATTTAGGCAAAAGGTAAATAAATTGATGAAAGCTAGCATGAATTGTAATGTGTTGTTTGCTGGGAATTTAGAGTTTGACATTACTCATGAGGGTACACGGTATCCTGTGAATTTGGCAACATCAAAATATGCATGCAAAGAGTGGTAGGTATCAGACATCCCTTGTATGCATGCTGCAACTGCTATAGGGTCACAAAGGGACAATATAGAGAAATATTGCCACAAAAGTTTCTCTAAAGAAGTGTATCTTGCTATCCATGGAGGTATGATTCATCCCATAATTGACCAAAAAATGTGGGCTCCAGGAAGAGAACCACTGCAACCTCCTCCTTTACGTAGACTCCGTGGAAGGCATAAAGTAAATAGAAGAAGAGTTGCAGATAAACCACAAGCTGCCACAAGTCAAATGCGGAGGTCAATGACAATTAGGTGTAAAATTTGCTTGCAATTGGGGCATAACAATAGGACATGCCAAAAAGCACCTGTTAAAAAGAAGGGACAAAGCAAGAAAAATAGCACTTCTATAAATAAAACCCAAGTATATATATTTTCATTTGTTCCATTATATATATATTTTTCTCTTTTGAACTGATGTTGAATGTGAACTTGATTGTCTAGGATAATACAGGATCTGTGTTAGCATTACAAGGTGGTTCGCAGTCACAAGCTACAAGAGACTAAGTGGAAGAAAAGGAAAAACAAAGGTCATGAGAGAGGTGACGAAGAATGAGCAATATTTGGACAATCAGATCAGGGTGTAGGAATCTGATAATGAGAGTTCATTAGCTTTTGTGCAAACCATAAATTTATTGGCACTGCTACTATATAACTTTTGTGCTGGCCATATGTTGTTGAGCAGATTATATGTTTTTTTGTAGGTTATATGTTTTATGGGAACTGCTACTATATTAGTTATCGAGAATTTACATTATGTTTCTTTTGGATATATGATCCCATCATTAGATGGTGATTGAGGGAATTAGTGAAATATTATTTGTCTTTGTTAAAAACATGGATTTCCTTGTCCATAAAAAAACTTGGAATTACAAGGAAAGCATTTTGCTTTGAAAGACTTTCGTTTCAAAACATATTAAAATTCTCCTAGACCCCCTGTGATTACATGATTACTATCACTAACACCCCTAACATTTTACTAAAATTCACCTGGACCCCTTCTAATTACATGCATGCTATCACTCACATCCCAAATTTTACTAAAAGAATAACATGCAAACACACACACACACACACACACACATATATATATATGCATCAAAATGAAGGAGAAGAAATATAGAAAAAAATCTGAATGAAATTGCAAAAAAAATAAACCACTAGTTGATTGAGTAGAGTAGAGGACATAATTGTCAAGCATTTGATGTTGTCGGGCACCAAAATCAGAGAAGGGCATAATGGGGTTTATTTTATGACATCATCACTTTTAGTTAACAGCACTGACAGATGCTAGACGGAGGGAGTCTCTGTGCTATAAGTTATAAAACTGAGGGGGTGTCTGTGTTATTATTGAAATGTCAAGGGATCGCCGTGTCATTTACCCTAATCTCAGGACGTTAGTGATTTTTACCCTAAATAATTTTGTGGGTGCTCATCAAAGATAGTCCAAAAGTGTGGTAGTTGGGGAGAGGGGGGCAAGTGCCCACCTGGTCTCCATGTGGCTCCGCCACTACCAGTTGAAATAAAGGAAAACCACAATCTTGCAGTCTAAAGAGATCACGAGTTTGCAGGGAATCTCCAAGCTTGTAGTTTGTGAAAAGAAAAAAAAAAAAAGCAGAGCTGAAGATAATGACAATAAATCAACAGCATACTAGAGACTATACAACAGAATATTCTGCATTACCAGCACAAGAAGCAAATATGAAGTCCTTCAACCTGAATCAACCAGCTAATTCAGTTGATTAGGTTTACCCCACCACCAATCACGGCCACAATTACCCAAATAAGAGAAAGTAATTGCAAGAGTAATAGTTAGTGAAAAGAAAAGGACAGGGAAACATATTGAAGGGTACTAGTAGTAAGACCAAACGTGCTTTTCTTGAAGACAGGACATCCATCACTTCTGAGTCTAATCTGCCTAATCTTTGGTGGTGGGTCAAATCTCTCTCTCTCTCTCTCTCTTTCTCTCTCTCGCGTGTGATGGTGGAGGGTATTGGTTGTGGTGATTCAGAGGCGTCATTCTGGTGGTGGGAGGGGGTTTGATGCAGTGACTAGAAGGGGCCTATGGTGTGGGGAGAAAAATGAAGGGATGATCAGGCTGGTGGGGAGAGTTGGGGGTTGTTCTGGTGAAAATGGGTTTTGGGTGGTTGTGAGCAAATGGGCTGCAAGAAGCAGGTAGATACAGGTGATGTGGTTGGAGAGGCAGGGCTGCAAGGTGACCGGGGGAGGTGGCTAATTATGAAAGGGGTTTTATGGGGGTGTGTCATTGATTTTTATTTGACATAATGTCAAAATTCAAAATTTTCAGTGTCCACTACTTCACACACAAGATATACATTTTGACTAAATATTTTTTTTCCCAAACAAAAGGCGTATAATTCAGGTAAGATTCATTCAAAAAAAGTCCCAGAAAAGAACAAATACATCCATAAATTTGCATTGTCCATGTTTCCCTCCTTAAAATCAGAACCGCCACAGGATACAAACTAAACGATAGCCCTCAAGGCCTGCATGTCAAGCAAATGTACCGCCATGCTGAAGGGCAGGGGACAGTCTGAAATATGACCGAGAGAAATTTTGATAAATCCTAGTATATTCTAAGGAACCAGCAACACATTCATAAGCAACTCCTGCAATCACAAAGCATTGATGGGGAATAACCAGAAAATGGAGGTCGAGCAATACCTTGGCATGCTATCCAAGTCCTCTCACGTACTGATCAAGAGTTGTATTGAATAGCTCACATCTACACAACCAAGAAGGGGCATATTAACATCCAAAACTTCCGCACTTTCAAGCAATTTGTAACTTGAACCTAGTCATTATAAACACAATCAGCCTAACAATGCGAGCTCAAGATTGAGATGCCAAAAAACCAAGAACAGGTTGTAAAGTTCTGATAAGAAACTCATCAGAAAAGTTACTATCTGAACAATTAAAAGTTACTATAGCAGAATTTGCTCTCCATTCTTGAAACTTCCTTAACTCTGAAATCCAATTCTTAGCATGTATTCCTTCATTGTCAAGCTTGTTTCCACCACAGAGCTCACTTTAATCCGACTCCGATTTCAAAGTTTGTTATTCAATTTTTTATATGAAGTTCCCAATAAATCTTATTCACACCATCAACTTACCCTAGCATGCAGTAACTTGGACTCCATATTGAATATGCCACACGTGCCAGAAGTCTTTCAACTATATGTCATACACTCTCTGTCTCTCATGATAACCCTCTATAATGCCCTTTTTTCAGTGATATCTGTAATATTGTTATAAGCTTTAAAACCATGAATCATGAACCTTGTCAGGGTTCCAAATCTTTCCTAAAGCTAATTAGTATTGAGTTTTTATAACTTGATTGACTGTTCTTTGATATTCCAGTACAGGAAACTCATGTACATTGTCAATAATACTGGATATACTTAGTCACTAGTCGTTCACTTCTTGAGTTTAACTAAATGTTTCTTCCTAGAATTGGACATAATCTTTTCTATCCAAGAAAATGGTTGACTGGTCCATCAAAGATTGCAAATAAGTAGCATATACAGATAGGTAACAATACAAATCTCATGTCTGATGCTCATAAAGAAACCAAGCAATGACTCCAAGCTAAAAAGATTGACCAGCAGCCAGTTTAAAGTTGTCTGATCAATAAAGCAGCATAAATATACAAACATGAAGCTTTGGATTGATGAGTGTACTATTTTAGTCTACAACCATAGAAAATTTGCCACAACTTCATGTGTACAAAATTGTAGGATGCACTTGCATGGAATGAGAGCAAACAAATTTAATTTGACCAAGAAATCTCCATGTTGGCATGAACAAACAAAATCTTCAACTATGCGTCCCCAGTCTTGAAAGCTAATCACTTACCTGATGGGAGTTCCTGGAGTATACAGCGGATTCTTCATAACATATTCAACATACAAGTTGTAAATGAACTTCAGAGCTTCTCTAAGATCACCAGTCCTAGGATGAGTAACCAGAATGATCTGCTCAAAAGCAATTAGATATGTTAAAGAGTGCATTAAAAAGTGCAGTCCGAGTCTGGTACAGATAATGGATGCTAGATCAGATAGGATCTCTCAAAATGGAAAACATATAATATAACTATACCCTTCAAAAAAGGTCCTTTTCCAATTGGCTTTGTTATTCATAATTAATGAGCTGCTGATTTTTTTCCTTTAATAAGTATATGCAACACAAAGACTTTACTAACCTTTATGCCAGATGGACTCTCCATGAAACTAAGTTTGTAAGTATTTGTACGAAAACTGTGAAATGAACACCCTTGTCCAGGTAACTGTGGCACCCCAAGATTTCCTTTATCAACGCTACCCAGGAAAAGTTTCAAAAAATGAGAAGAGAGCCCTTCAAAAACACAATTAACTCAAAAACCAACCACAGAAAAACATCACAATCACTAGGTACAGTGTCAAGCACTGCATTCATGCCTTAATAGAAACTAGCTCCAAATTAAAACAATGATCAACTCTATCAAGTGTAGGAACACCAATACCAATCAATTACATATCTAGCTACCATTCGGGAATACCAAATTCAACTAATATCTGGCAAACATACAGAAAAAGTTAAAAATTTTAGAAGATGCTGATGCCACTAATGGAGGAAGTTTTTTCCGAATTTCCTGAAGATAAAACACTTTGATATTCCTATCTACAAGAAGAACCCCTCTATAAACTGGTTTGATTAACTCATAATACATCTCAAAATCAAGTGTCACATAATATAGTAATGCCCATGCGAACACCTTGTATTTAGTTAAGGGTTCCAAACCAATTGGATTCCACTGTACGTAAAAGTAGAAAAACCATGATGAAACCTGGTATTCCATGGCGGGCAGTCTCAGGGGTATCCCCCAATTTCTTAAAACTGATAGGGATCTTTCGTGTGCATCTGGTGGCCAATCCTCTCTCTCTCTCTCTCTCTCTCTCTCTCTCTCGCGTCATATAGATTCATTCAATCATTCCTAATGATCCTCCCCTTCTCTCTTCTTGATTAAATCGGCATTGTTCAACAGTCAACACTTTCCTCTGCTCCTTTGGCTTGTTGAATTGCAATACATCTCAGACAGGTTTATAATGAAATTTTTATTGTATTGAATTCCAGTATACTTAATAAATTATTACGTCTCATGTAATGATTCAGACCAGATGATGGATTTATACCATCAAAATCCAAGCCATTAAAACCAAACAATTTCATTCAGATGAAACATCCTCCCAATTCGGGGAAAATAATTACTAATAAATACAAGATTATTAAAAATGAAAAACAAACCTAGTGGGATCCATTTTGGCAGTCAAGGATTTGAGAGAAAAAAGCAGACCAAACATAAGCTTGTGGTCCTGTTGGGCATTCAGGGTCCGGAGAGGCCGATTCCACTCCCTGTAAAGCAAACAAACTCCATTTCTATTGAACACATAAATCATATTGCCATTGTTTCCCGCTGCTGTCGGTGCTGGAGGTGATGGACTGATCTCTGAACCACCGAAAAATTGCATTGTAAAAAATAGTTCAATCCAACCAAAGTAATTGGGTTGAAATGTACAATTCTGGATGCGAAAGAATAGTGATTCGATGTCTCTGCAAACATACAAAATTTTGCAATATATTTCAGCTAATTAGAAAAACATATATTCAAAGGAAAGAAATATGATCTTAATGGTGTGCTTTGTTTTGTAGCAGAGATAATGTAGGGAGAGATCAAAAGCTAAACTCTGGGATCTGTGAATTTTTCATTATTTCGGATATCAGAACGAGTTCAACCATTTGAAATTAGTTGGCTTTCATTTACCATTATTTTCAACAACCTATAATTGATACAGCTCTATTTTCCTCCCAGGCTCCTTTGGAATCAAATAAGAGTACAAAGATTACAACGCATAAACCCTAATTTCTGAATATAGACAAGATCAGAACCAAATAGCTCGATTTAATCGGCCATAACCCTAATATTAAACGAATACTATTCAGCAAGAAAAATAGCAGAATCAAATGTACAGTGTACAATTTTGCAAAGAAAAATGAGAGAGAGATCTCGAGAGCTGATCAAAGTGAAATAGTGAAGTTTTCCAAAAAAGGCGAACAAAGCTTAGTAGAGCGTGAGGGAGTACCAGATTGACTTGTTAGTTTACGTACTCTCCTCTTCCCCTTGCCGGTCTACCTGAGCGTCTAGCGGTAATACTGGATCTCTTGAATTATGATGCGTGTTAATAGAAAAGTTACGATACTGGATCTACCTGAGTATCTCTTGAATTATGATATTTTTTTTTTTTTTGTATGTAAATAGAACCCTTGAACTCTTTGATTGTGTCACTTGAGCCCTTCTGTCTACCTCTGTTAGATTCTTTAACAAAAAGTTGTGAAGTGTGTCACTTAAGAAATACAAAGGATTGAATAAACTATACTTATCACTCTCAAATTATGACTCTTCTGTCAATTAAACCCCTGAACATTTTTTTCCTAATATTATTTAAGTTTAATTTGTTGACATGATATTTTAACCTAATTCAGTGTTAATAAATTATATCTAAGTAACATAGTTTTTTTTATTAATAACAGAGGCTGATGAAATCTATTTATTGATTCTCTCACAATTTGATAGATTGTACGTACGATGATTTATTTTACCACGCGAGGTATCTGGTTCAAGTTCAGAATAACTCAGTTGTGTCAAAGAAAAGAATAAAAGAAACATCTCACTCTTTCATGCATATCTCAATTGGTGGAGTTCTGCTCTTGTAATTGAATCGTCGTAATTAAGGGTTGAATGTTTAATTGTTCATACGATAATGATAATATCTTGTACCTCAACCGATAACTCACTTTTTTGCACAAATTAACTATGACATTTGATTGGCGGAGTTGACAAATTTTACTTGTTTGTTTATTTTTGGCTTTGACAATAGTGATCTAGTTTTGGGAATGCCACTGAAGTGTAGAAGGCAACAGCCAAAAATGCAGTCATTTTAACATTATTAAGAAGAGATCTAAATAACATGCAATATCCTAATTCTGGCAGCAATGCTCACGAGCATAGTTTAAAAACCCAGCCCGGACATCAACTCGGTGAAGGGACCGGGTCAATAAGTCACTGGTTCAACCGTTGGGTCACTGATCAGACTGGTAATATAATAAAAATTAAAAAATAATTATAAATAATAATAAATAAGCTAAAAAATCACAATAATTATAAAAATAACATCAAACATGTAAAGTTAAGCTGAGAAAAATTATCAAACATGTATCCAATTTCAATGTATATCTATGGCACCTATCAAAAAAAGAAAAGAAAAGAAAATATTCAGCAAAATTTGATCTTAGATCAAGCAAACACATGGACAACAATAATAACATAGATTTCACAAGAAATTTAAGAACAAATTGCCCGTGTATATCTATAGCACCTATAAAACAAATGAATAGATACATTCAGAGAAATTTGATCATATCACAATCCACAAGTAAATACACATCTCAAACGGGTTTTCAACATAGCAGAACCCAAATCAAGCTTGAGTTCCAATTGCACCAAAACCCATTTCATTTTCACTATATTTCCAAGAAACAAGTGTTAAAACAAACAAAGATAAAAACAAATTCTGCACATAAAAGCCCAAAACCATATATATAGAAGTGGGTCAAAACTAAATGAACGCAAAGGGAAATTTTTTATGTTGAAAACCCAGAAAGTCCACTGCCTTAAATTTTTTTCTGCAGCCAACAACAAAGCTTCCAATTTTTCGATCAAGCAAACACATGAACAACCCTCATTCCATTGATCAAAGAATCTACTCATCTAATTGCAAAATAAAAAACCCAAATTGAGAGAGAGAGGAATTGGATAATGTAACCAAACAGATGAATTGGACTGAGAAAGAGAAAAAGGAGGAGAGAGAGAGGGAAACTCACTGGAGTCGACTACCTGCTGCTCACTGGATCGCTGCTGCACTGGACTGGAGTCGCTGCTGCTCGCTGGACTGCACTCTGGATCGCTGGTCGCTAGACTCGCTACTGATCGCTGTCTGGGTATTCTTCGTCGCTGATCGCAATAAATATTAATGATCTTACAATCGCTGATCGCAAGCTTGCAAGAGAGAGAGAGAGAGAGAGAGCTGGCTGTGTATTCTTCGTCGAGGAGCCGACGGGTCAAGAGAGTTCGGCTGTCTTTGTTTCAGAAGAGGCAAAGCAATTAGGGCAAAAATGCCCAAAGTCTGGTTTTTATAGCAATTTACAGTACCAACCCAGTTTGACATAATCCGTCCGATTTGAACAGTATCGTTAAAAATCGGTCGGTTCAGTGGCTCATTAACGATTTTCATGCTTAACTGATCTAATTAACTATTTGGCCCGATTTGGAGCCCAATTCGCTGGGTCAACCTGGCAGGCCGGATCGAATTTTAAAACACTGCTCACGAGTCACGAGTGTTTAAAGAAAACCAGAGTATACCAAAAATAAAAAGATTCTAGAAAAAATACCACAATAGAAAATCATAACTCTGTGGAATCCTTGAATTCGACAGAGAAGAGGTATCATATACAGTTCAGATGATCTTAAAACATATAAATGTTTATAGATCAAATGAATAGGCTGATTCAAACACCATCAGACAAAAGCTCAAAAAGAGAAAATTATGTCGCACTATATCTAAATTGAAGTTAAGACACTAATATTCTCATTTCCTCATCTCCATGCCATCAAGAGGGCTTCCTTCCACCACCTTTGAACCCACTTTTTCCCAATTTGTAGATAGCACTGTCCCATTCGACTCAACCTATTAAGCGGCACCGCAAAAGGTAAAAGACCATATTTATTAAAATATGTTTTTGGTGATGTTTGGCAAAAAGGAACTACAAACTTGTAAAAAAAGACAAGATCTTGAGAAATTATTTGATTTGTGTCTCAAAAAATACTATATGAAAAATTGTTTGTGTTTTCTGTGTCTAGGAACGTGTTTGTTTATATAATTACAAAAATAGTTATATAGTAACCCAGAAAACAATGACAACATAAATGTTGTTGTGGTTTTTAAATTTTAAGAAAGTTTGTTTTCAAAAACACACAAAAAATCCTAACTTGTTCTCTAAATTTACCCACTATTTGTTCACAATTTTCAAAAAAAAAAACAAAAATCAGCTGGCCAAATAGTTTTTCGCCCAAAAACTTATTTCAAAAACAAAAGAACAATTTCTGAGCTGCAAACCAAACAAGGCGTAAACAAGAAGGAAGATTGCGAGGGCAAGATGGGAAAAAAAAGAAGAAATCAAAAGTAATGCACCCATGAACTCCATTTCTATTGAACACATAAATCATATTGCCATTGTTTCTTGATGCTGTTGGTGCTAGAGGTGATGGATTGACCTCTGAACCACCAAAAAATTACATTGTAAAAAATAGTTCAATCCAACCAAAGTAATTGGGTCGAAATGTACAATCGACGTCTCTAGAAACATACAAAATTTTGCAATATATTTCAGCTAATTAGAAAAACATATATTCAAAGGAGAGAAATATGATCTTAATGGTTAATGGTTTGCTTTGTTTTGTAGCAGAGATAATGTAGGGAGAGATCAAAAGCCAAACTCTGGGATCTGCGAATTTTTCATTATTTAAGATATCAGAACAAATTCAATCATTTGAAATTAGTTGGCTTTCATTTACCAATATTTTCTACAACCTATAATTGACACAGTTCCATTTTCCTCCCATGCTCCTTTGGAATCAAATAAGCGTACAAAGATTACAACTCATAAACTCTAATTTCTGAATATAGATAAGATCGGAACCAAGTAGCTCGATTTAATCGGCCAGAACCCTAATATTAAATGAATACTATTCAGCAAACAAAATAGCAGAATCAAATGTATAGTGTAAACAGTTTTGCAAAAAAAAAATGAGAAAGAGACTTGGAGAACTAATCAAAGTGAAGCAGTGAGGTTTTCCAAACAGGGCGAACAAAGCTTATTAGAGAATGAGGGAGTACCAAATTGACTTGTTAGTTTACGTACTCTCCTCTTCCCCTCGCTAGACTACTCGAGCGTCTAGCAGTAATATTGGACCTCTTGAATTATAATGTGTGTCAATTAAGTTTCTAATTTTTTTTGTATGTAAATTGAACCCTTGAACTCTTTGATTGTGTCACTTGAGCCCTTCTGTCTACCTCTGTTAGATTATTTAACAAAAAGTTGCGAAATGTGTCACTCAAGTATTACAAATGATTGAATAAACTATACATATCACTCTGAAATTATGACTTTTCTGTCAATTAAACCCCTGAACTTTTTTTTCTAATATTATTTAAGTTTAATTTGTTGACATGATATTTTAACCTAATTCAGTCTTAATAAATTATATTGAAGTAACATTGCTTTTTTATTAATAACAGAGGTCAATGAAGTCTATTTATTGATTACCTCCCAATTTGATAGATTGTACATACGATGATTTATTTTACCACACAAGGTATCTGGCTCAAGTTCAGAATAGCTTAGTTGCGTAAAAGAAAAGAATAAAATAAACATTTCACTCCTTCATGCATAGCTCAATTTGTGGAGCTCTGCTCTTGTAATTGAGTCGTCGTAAT